GTGGTGGAAATGATTGCGCTTCACTAGTTTCATTTTAAGGGGGGCTAATGGTATTTAATATAAGGCAGTGGGGAAATTAACAATATGCAGTGCTCATTTTACAACAAAACATGATCAAGGCAACTGTATCGAATTGCTACTGACGAATTGTAGCGCGGTGGTATAGATGGTGTATTTCATTAACGATACTGACTACGCTTTGAAATGTGCCCAGGAAGTTTTCTGATATTAGGGGAAATTGTTATAAGGCAGAGGACGCAGTTCTGGGTATTTAAAGAACTCTCTCACGATAAACTTGCCAAAATGGAGCCAACAATTTTTTTCTTTTTCATTAAGCGGCAAGTGACTCGTCTTAATTTATATTACTATCCCTCTATTTATAAACTAATAAGTGCCTAATCATAGAAACGGCTTTTTTTACTAACAATTATTTGAAGAAAGTTTAAAAATATAGATTGTGTGATTAATGCATCAATCTCCAATCCGTTCCTGGTTTATCTTTTGTTATTCTCGAATACTCATCATCAGATTGATTCATCGAATGATGTTTGTCCAGCCCGCGTGCTTACTGTCCCAGCTGATTCGACTACGCCTGACAAAACTCGCCAAGCCCAATCGACTCTATTCGCCTCTGCTTCACCTCCTAACTCTCCTGTCCACGCTGGTGCAGTTTATCTCGTATCCGTCTCAGAACGCGAGCCTTTGTCTGATAAGGAGGCTGCCAGATCTAACAATAGTTATGAGTGTTCGAATTCAGCTCACTTGTCTCCGACTCCTCGAGTCACTGGGCCTCGCCTTGGTGCTTCTCCCACAGCTCTAGAACGTCCAGTTGCGACACGTGCCCTGCTTGAGAATAAATTCAAACCGGTTCCTGCGCAGACTAATAATAACAGCATTGACATACTGGAGTCCGGAAAATCACCGAAACCTGCTGCTGGCATCCAAGTGGACTCCACTAGGGCAAGTGCTGCTCGGATTGCTTTCACTGGTTTTTCATTATTGAGCCCAGCTGAAATAGAGCATCGTGCTTCTCAGAACACGACGTCTATACCGCTGCCTAAAGTATCTGTCGGTTCTCCCACAGATATTTCTACTGTGCCCCGAACGGTATTGCTTGACACCCGCAGCTTGAGCCCCAGGTTGCCTGACCTGACTATGCCTAAATCTAAACAGATAAATAACATGGACAACAGCATACATTTGAGATGGACGCCTATAGCAACTGTTTCAGTTCCATTGACTGTCGCTGAGTCACCTGAAGCTTCTGAGTCAGAGCAAGAGGTAGAAATTATATCATTCTTTTGTCTATCTCATTAATCTAGTTATTATATTGTAGTCTTACCAATGTAAGTTAGTATACTTTTGAAAAATTTGAATGCTTTATATTTTAATTAACTTACTAAAATGTCATAGGTGAATTATTTTGCCTTCATTCTTAATTCCTTCATATATATGAGATTTACCGCCACATATCTGTTTCTCTCCACTTACTACTTGGATGTTTATAATTATAGCTTTTTTGTAATTTATGCTCAATTTTACATCGTTTTCCTAGAATTTTTCACTCGGTAAGTAGCATATTCTTATAGTGGAGCTTCTGAAATAATCGTATGCATGTCCTTCATTGACTTATACACGTATTTTTAACAACTATATTACTATTTTCGGCACATTCTCAACGGGACAATCTTGATATCTAACATTCCTTGGTTGTCTTTTCTATTGATAACTTTTAGACGATATACCTCAGCTAGTGTGCTCTATTTTATTGTAACCTCATTCAATTATAAAGACTAACTGAGATAATCCGGACATTACTATATTTCCGATAGAATTTACGACCGGCCGCCCATCGTCACCTGTTAGAATCTACACGATTGAATCCTCTGCATTCACAAGAGGCCTCTTTTCGCGTGGATCGCTGTGTTACCAGTCTTCTCAAGCCCGTCAGCGGGCGCTTACCTTCTGCTGCGACACAAGCTTCATCGGCAAACGTGGATAGTCTAGGATCCGACCGTCCTGGCTCAAGTAAAAAAGAGCTAAATCCACACTTAAACGCTGAGTCCTCAACGAAAGCTGACTTAAATAATGAATTTTCTCGTAATTGTGATGTGAATTTAGTTTCTTCTCAAGAGAAGGCTATTAAAACTACCTCTCCACATCTCAGTGACGTTATGGAGGCTTGTCTCCGCAATGTAGATGATGCAGTCTTAGGCCCTCAGATTTCTGAATTGAGGCCGATACCTGACGACAGATCTGGAAGTCGCTTTGTTTCCGAGGATACAAATAGTTCTGTACCAAGTTGGAGCTGGCAATCAACTATCCATCTTATGGAGGAGCGTTCTCGTCTTGAGCGGAAGATTTTACACTTAAAAGTATTAAAATGTTTTGTTTTGATTCATTTTTGGATTGATATACAATACCCTCATAACTCATAGGGGATCTTGTTTAATGATCATAACAATTTCTTT